ACACAGCTCTCCCTTGGAGCAGTGTTTCCTGCATTTGGAATGAGTTAGTGTGGAGTTCCCATATGTTTGTCTTGGTATCGTTACTGCCCCGTCCCTGACAGCTCTCTGGTGGCTGCTGCTGCTGTGCTTCTTGTCAAGCTTCATTCAGAGCCTGAAGGCTGTTGCAAGTTCACTGCCAATCTTGTTTCTTCTCCACTGGGCTTTCGTGTGCCCCTGTCTAGTGTGCTCTTGTAGAGGGTTTTTCCTTCAAAGGGTCATTGCTCTTGGTCGCTTATATAGGTCGGTGGTCAGACCATTTCTTTCCTCTGTCCCTTTAGTTCTGATTTTCCCATTGCAGTACCTGTTTTCTGTGATCCACAGACTTCTAACGTGCATTCTTTCTCTCCCAGATGCTTCTCTGCACTAAATCCAGGCAGTGGCTAGCTTATTACAGCCAAAATAAGTACTTGGATGTAAAATACTTGTATGTTCTTCTCCACCGTTTTTGTTTTGTCTTCGCTGCTGCCTCTTGCGTGCAAGTCTGGCTCTGCAGTCCGTCCCAGTCCTGGAGCACATGATCGCCTTGGCCACGGAGAAATCCTGAAGGACCTGGGAATCTGGTATCTGGCTGGTCACTGGTACTTACGTTGCTTGGAGGATGCTGGGCTTCCAGCTCTGAAATGCTGCTCCCTCTTGTGTGCTTGGATTGGGGTCTAGAAGCACAAAGAAGGTGACTTCTTTGCTTCAGGACTAGCTTGGTGCTGCCAAAAGGAGGAGATCATGCTTTTCTGGGTGATCCTCTGTTGTCTCTGCTTGTCTGGTCACAAAGTAAGTGAATTTAAGCTCTTGCTTCTTGATGAGTCAGAAGTAGAGAACCAAATAGGCCCTCTGTGGTCAAACAGGCTCAGCTGACTTGAAGAAGCAGCAAGAAACCAAGACCAGGATTGAGGGGAGGGTGTGCGAGCTGTTTTGACTTAAGCTTTCTCTTGAAACCCTCGGCAATAATATGTTTAATCCCTTCTTTCAGCTCCAGAAGTCCTGGTGCTGTGGTTGTTTCTCAGCCAGAGGTCCTCGTGTGCTGTACACCTGTGCTGGATATCACTTGGCACCTGCTTGGTCCGCTCTGTTGTAGCCAATTCCTGCTTCTGACACAAGGTGTCAGTGAAGGAGTTGTAGCTGCTTTCCTCTGCTCCAGTGGTGTGAGCATGGGTCTGTTCTTAGTGGAATCTGTCTTGGATAACCAAACTTGTGAGTTGCATGGATTTCTTCTGTCAAAAGGATGGCGAGCCATCTCCGGCTCCTGAAAGCTGGAGTAGCCTGTTCGATGTCTGGTACCGTCTCTGGGGAATAAAAAGCTGTTGATGCAGTTGGATAGCGGTGCCGCTTTTAGGAAGCAGAGTTCAGCCTGGGACTGGAATGTAGGTTATTGGCAGGCTTTACTGTTGATCTGCAGTGCTCCATGCTGGAAAAAGCGTATGGAGCCTGGGAAGTCCATAAAAGCATCTTCTTTAGAAACAGGAGTTTCTTTACCTTGAAGTCAGTGTTTGTGAGCCTCCTGTTGCTGATTTTCCTTTTGCTTCCACAGCAACAGTGTAGGAAGCAGATTTCCTTCTGACCTGCCAGTGTTATAAAGGTGATTGGTATGGTGAAATCCAGCAGCAGGAGGTGTCGCCTTCTAGTTGGGTAACGAGGCTGTGAAACGTCCAGCTGAGAAGTGACAGGTAGTTGGTTCAAGCTTGTTCGTGTGGGCCTCTGTTAGGAGAGGCTTTCCAGAGGCTGCGTGTTTCCACCACCACCTCTCTGTGGGTGCTAGTGCTTCTGTCCATGCAGTCAGCTCAGCTGGGGACTTGCGTGCCTCATGGAAACAACGGTGTGTGCGTGGAGGGATGGGATCTGTCCTGTCTTCAGCTTAAGCTGTGTGTGGAACTACTCTCATGCCCCTGCAGAGATCTGTCATGTTTTATTTGTGCATCTTGGCCCGCAGTTCATCAGTCTGCTGTGGACTTGTCCTGTGAAAACTCCTGGCTTTTCACTCCTTGTAACCCCAAGGTGGTGGTGTCTTGTCACATCAGCATGGGGAAGAGCAGAGTAACCCTCTGAGTCCCAAAGATGTGTCTGGGAGGCGAAAGGTGGCTAGGAGAAGAAAATATATGTGATTCTTTTAGAAATTAAGCATTTCCAAATCTGCGGTGTTCTCTCATCTCCTCAATTTGGTCCACGGGCTTCCATTTCTAGGGTGCATGCAAATCAACAGTAAAATCGGAGAGCTTGGAGCAAGTAGGTCACGCTTGTCCTACACTGCTTGGCCTCACGCTGGCTGGAGGGCACAGTGTCTGCCTGAATGGTATCATCACACGTACCAGAGCCCCTTTTCCTGTCGAATGCATCTGTAGCAATTCACAGTGAGCACTAAACTCTTGATACAGGCCTGGATGGTGTGGAATAAACCAAGACTGGGCAGGTTGGTTGGTTGTTTTTGAGTTTTGAAGAGTGTTTCCAGGGTTGCTCTGCCTAGCCGTCGCTGCCCAGGAGGGGAGTGCTGCTTTCAGTCAGCTCGGGAGTGAATTGCTAAGGGCTTGCTGTCCTAAATGCTTCTGCAGTGTAGAGACATCCGCTTCTCTCCCACTTTCCTCTTTCTCCATGGAGAGGAGAGGTGATGAAGTATCTGGAAGTGTACTGAGCATGCAGTCGAGCCACTGTGGAGTGATGTGTGTCTGTCTTCCGCTTGTCTAACTACAGGACATGAGAAGGCACCAAAGAAAGGCTTGCCTGAGCAGAGGTGTGGGTCCTTCCCTCCAGTAAATGGATGTTGAGGAGTGTGTCCTCTGTGCACGATGTTTCTGCTGAGCACAGTGTGTGCTTTTGTTTTCATAGTCCCAAGGATGGTTTTTTCTTTTCCTCCCTTGAAGGTCTTTTGTGCTTTATGGTGTCACATACTTAGTGCTCTCCATATCTCCTCTGAGAAAGAAGAGCGGGAGAGGCTGTGCTACCCTTCTCCATTCTGTTTTATCACTGTGGTCCTGGAATTTGGGCCCCAAAAGGCTGGAGCTGGACTTTGTTTTCACCTTAACCACATGGGCAGTGTGTCCTCTCTTGTGTAGAGAAGTCGCATTGCTACCAGAGCTGCAGGCTACTGCCAAGAGTGCTTTTGGCCCCTTGGTCTGTGGTGGAGCTCACGGTGTTCTCCTGGGTGCGGGGGTATGGGACAGATCCTTTCCTATGCAGTTCCTTTGCAGTGCAGCCAAGCAAGGAGAGGCCACTTGGTGGTCATGAAGTGTGGTCATGCTTAGATCCACCTTGAACTCTGAGAGCAGTTTTGTCCAACCCTCAAACTCAGTGGGTGTAGAAGCCAAGCCATAATGTGAGG